GGGGGGGGGGGGGGGGGGGGGGGGGAAACAAAGAAAACACTTCATTTAGCAAAACAATGCCATATAAACAGATTGTGTTCCCTTATAGTAAACAAATTGACCCCTGTACACTTGTTGACCCCTTACCCAATCTTAAACCTACCCATACCATCAAACCTGTCCCTAACCTTACTCGTATCACACCTCAACAGCAGCAAAGGAGTTGTGCATTAACAAAAGCTTTTAATCATTTTATAACAGCTGTTAAAATCATTTGTAGATTTTCAAGATGTGCATGATCATATGAATTAGAAGTTTAATAACATTTGTAAGCATTTTAAATTTACATGAAATGTTAATTAGGTGATGTTTAATACACTTATTAAATATTAATAAGCACATTAATTCACATTTGTATATAATATATATGTGAACTAATGATCCGTTAAGCATTATGTAATGCTTTATTAACGAAAGTTATTATAAATAGTGTTACCCTGTGCAGTATTGCTGAAGTTTCATTTTTAACTTGTTACACAGTGAAGCTGTACTGCACTTCCAAAGAGAAAAGATTTCTCATAACCAGAGCCTCAGCTTTCTTGATCTCTATACAATATGGAAAAAATAAATAAAATAAATTCCTTAGTCTGATATTCCTTCTTTCATTCCCTCTGTACTTGAAAGAATAATGATGTTAGAAGTGACTTAAAAAAAAAAAAAAAAAAAAAAAAAAGTCATGACAGTACATACTTTGGTTTTAATATTTATTACAATTTTAGACAGTGCATTAAAACAATAATAAAAAAAATTCAACCTAAATAAGCAAATTTTAAAGAGTCAAACATACTGGAAAAATATGGCTGGTGCATAAAAGTTGTGCTGAAATTTTCTAGATCGTGATCTAAAACTGATTGCAATGTCCCAGACCACAGTTATCATTCTGCAGTGCATTAAAATGTCATTCCAGTTCTAAAACGTACCTGATCGAAGATCCCGGTGTAAGAAGACTCTATAAAGACTATATAAAACTCACTGATTAACAATACTTTGTATAATGTATCATGGCCATAGACGATGGCAGTCAGCTTAAAGTTGAAGACGTTCAATGTCTAAGTTTTGAACGGTACTCTTTCCAGCTCTCCTACATTTATGCAGTTTTTGATGGTTACATTGGGATTCCAGCCACAATTTCAGATTCAATGCCACAGTGGTCCTCACCTCGGAGAATCTTGAAAAATCCTAAAGTTGCAACAAAAAAAATTGGGCAGATGAAGCAAACTCCTGTACAGTCTGTAAACAGAATAGAGTCTGGAAATGTGTTGGTACAAAAAGACATGAACACTTCCTTGGCATTTCATTGGGTTGGGTAACAAACTGCAGACAATAAGAGGAGCATTTTAGTCTTCACACAAAAGAAAATAAGCCTCACCATTATCACCCCAGTCAGTGTTCCAAGAGTTAGCAGCAAGCCAGTAGGGGACGCTATTCTCCTCTCCCCAGCCCAGGATCTTAATGGCATGACCACCTAGTACAGATCCACTCACGTGCTGATATACACCTACAAAAAGGAGTAAAAAAACCAAATTATCAACAGCTCCATGTTGTATTAGTACTCTTGCCATGTACATGAATAGACAAACCAACCAGATTTATAATGCAGGAAGTCCTCATAGACAGTGAACGCTGCCTCTACTGGGCCGTTCTTGAAGAGCTCTTTCATAATGTCCTTCTGATTAGATGGGACACTATAGGATGTCTTTCCTGCCATGACAAACAAGACACAGAAATAAAAGTTCAATGAATTGATCTTTCAGCAGCACAAATTATTATATCGAGCGCACAATTTAGCAAACCAAGGAGAGGGGAGCGAGGCGAGGTCGAGCCCAGCTAACCGAAAGGGCTGAGACCACGCACAGGAAAGCCAGCCGCCACATTCTGAAACACAAATTCAATTAATATCACTTACATACAGAAAGGCGGCTTTACGTTTAATTCTAACGGCCCAAAAATCCCACTTTAATCACTCTTTGATACAAACTGCAGCTAAAACACTGCATCTACATAGCCAGCTACATGAATCACTTCAGCTAAATAACTTCACATAGCTGTAGTCTACATCACGGAAGTTGTGTCCAGCCTATAGGAGAGAATAAGTTTAATGTGAAATTATGCAATAGACGCTAAAAATAAAATGCCTCAATACAAAGATCTTTCCAATACTGGCTCATTTATTCTCACTAGGATGCGGTTTAGGGAATCAGTGAATAGAACAGCTTCTTACCTTCCAAGTAGTGTTTGCTTTATTGATGAAATTTACCATCTCATGGGAGAGGGGAGCGAGGCGAGGTCGAGCCCAGCTAACCGAAAGGGCTGAGACCACGCACAGGAAAGCCAGCCGCCACATTCTGAAACATAAATTCAATTAATATCACTTACATACAGAAAGGCGGCTTTACGTTTAATTCTAACGGCCCAAAAATCCCACTTTAATCACTCTTTGATACAAACTGCAGCTAAAACACTGCATCTACATAGCCAGCTACATGAATCACTTCAGCTAAATAAAGTTTTGAAGTTCTAAACATCGTAGCCTTGAATCAACGTTAGTCAGGTGGCACATCAAGACCACTTCTCAAACTTCAGGTGAAACCGATCACTGACTGCCTACAGTAGTGTCATCTTCAGACTGCAGTCATGCAGAAGTGAACGCTTAAAAGACATCTTAAAATAAACACGGTCAAGATTCCTAAGGGTTACACAACCAGCCAAACAAGTCTTGATTTTAAAAGGGGCCCCTCACTCACAGTAGTTTAACAGTAGACGTGGTTTTAAACAATTGTACGTCCGTATTACTGACTTCTACCACAATCTTGACAACTGCAGGGAATTGTCGTCACGAAGCACCAACTTATCAATATAATTTTCATACGTGGACTTACACTTCCTCTAAAAGGTCTATAACGACATCACTAAAGATGTGCGTGAGTCAGCAATTTACAGGAACCTGCTAATATCGAGAAAGCCAGCCTACTCGGACCTTAAACCCCCGCTGGAATCTGGACTAGCAAAAACTGCTTCAAAAAGAAGCACTAACGCCGTCAGAATTCAACTATATAGCGAAGAACGCAAATATAAAACTGCTCGCAGCATTTGAAAGTATCCACTTGAAGAAAAAGGTAAAATAGCCTGCTTATGTTTGCAACCTAATAGTGTATTTGGAAGTAAACGAGCAGCGTATTGTCAGTTAGAGCAACTGAAGCGTTCACTTGTGTTCAAACATAAGCTCTGGTTTCCAATTCTCCTACTTTCGTTTTTAACTGCAGGCCTGTTTAACAATCAAAGGAACAATGAATCCATTTTATCACCGATCAGGAAGTGCCTTTGAAATGAAGATAAACTCATGCTATTCCCTGATAAAGTGTTTCGCATTGTAATTTTCGTATGATCATTTAAGATATGCTGCTTTATCGCCATGACACTTTTCTCAATATCTATTTGTAGTTGAAATTATAAACAAACAAATCATAATAATAACCTACGTCCTCGTAATTAAAAAGCAGATTTTAGGAGCAAAGTCCTACCTATCTTTTGTCTGCTGGCCGTCGTTGTCTTTGAAATGCGTGTCTCACTCCCCAAGAGCTGCACTGGGCGGAAATAAACACTAGCTGGCTTGAGCAGCAAACTGAAGGCTTTATAGCGCAACAGCAGATCACGTGATAAATCATGTGCGCTCGGGGGTCTCATGACTCTGACGTGATCACATCTCTCTACCCGAGTAATCACAGTACTGTATGCTAATTTAGTTTCTTATGTAACTGTAATGAATCGTATGGAAGCCAAAGAAAATCATGCTCCAATCATCATTATGACATAAATAGTCAAAACTCTGGCATTAAGGTCACAATTATAACTTTTATGACTTTTAGGTCACAATTTCGAATTTTTGTCATATTTTAAACGTGTATCTCACACAGTTTCAACTTTTACGTCATAATTACAGAAGTGCAATTATGTAAACTTTATTTAGTTTTTTTTTTCATTATTGTCTGAATATTGTTTCAACTTTGTTTAACATTTTATAGTCAAAATAAATAAAATAATGAAATACAATTAAGAAAAATGAATACAGTTATTAATAAACAAAATAAAGGCAAACAGCTGATCAAGAAAACAGGTGAAAAGAAAATCACATACGTAAAATTATAATAAATAAGTAATATATATATATATATTATTATATAAAAACAACCTAAACGAACACGTGCAAACGGTCCAAGATTTATAAAAGGTTTTTTTTTTTTCTTTTGAAAGAGAGAAAAGCTTGGGTTTCATACTTTCATTGCTCGGTATGTGCTGTCACATGAGCGGCAGCCTCCAAAAACGGATCGGAGAGACAACACAAAGCGCAGTTAGCGCAAAAAGCTCACTGCCCTTCAATAGCAGAAATAATATCACATTCACAAACTTTGAAAAAAGCGCAACGATGCAGAATCGCAAGGGAAGTGCGATCATATGGAGTCACGTCTGCCTCTACTCTTTTTCAGGAGTCATTGTTTTATTGGAGAAAGCGGCACGTAAGTTATTTTCCGGTGAATCATTCCTTTCCAAACCGCTATCTGTGCTTACTGAACATATTTTGGGAACTGCGTCGGCATGTGGATGTGGTTTTTGCCTGTTCGGACATGTTGTATTATGAGTTCAGTTTTGTTATTGCACATTGTTGCTGCTATGGTTTTACTGCGCTTTTTTCATGAATGGAGAGCAGGGGGCGTGTTCTGTCACACACATGCTTTACATTAGAGCCACTGTCCTGTCACACCTGCCTGTAGCTTTCTAGTGATCTTGAAGACGTTGATTAGCTTGTTCAGATGTGTTTGATTAGGGTTGGAGGAGCTAAACTCTGCAGGACAGTGGCCCTACAGGACCGAAGGTGCCCAGCCCTGCATTAGAGACATACCCCAAATGTTAAAAATAACATTACGGTATTCAATTATAAAATACTTGACAGATCATTAAATCATTAGTTTGTGCATTCAAATACATATTATACATGTTTGTGAAGGACTTATTAAAGTTATAATAGTTTACCAATCGTTCAGTAAAAAGAAATGTAAAAAAATACTTTTTTTCCCTGTGCAGTCACACAAATGGGAATGACAAATTAAGATAATTAAAGATGAAATGCTTTCAAAAATATTTAATCATTGATGCAAACTTCATCAAATATGAGACAAAAGTCAGTCTTGTGCTGATTTAGTTCAGTTCAATAACTGTGTATAGTTCATCAATAATGAAATGCGTCCATTTCAGCTATAAGCAGCTCTACAGAAGACAATAGTGTTGTTATTCACCTCGAGTCAATGTTGATTCAGTTCATCTCAGTAACAGCATTGTTGTTGAAAATGGACTCGGTTGTTTGACTTATTTGTTGTTTATGTCATCAGTCGGACTGTGCTTTACGCACTACCTCTGGATGGGAAAGGAGCTGCTGGCCTGGCTGACTCTGGCTCCGTGTCTGCCTGTCACGGCTGTGCAGCTGCTTAGTCTGAAGTGGTACATCACTGATGCAGAAAGATCCAAGCCCTCACTTCTCCTTGTGCACTGTCTGCATCTGGGCGACTACCACAGGTCAAAAACGTTCTATCACTTAGAACTGTTTTAATTCAGTTGTACAGAATGAGGTGGAAAACTGTACTAAATTACTGTACAATATAATGACAGTGATACATAATCGAGAGAATTCATGAGAACATGTTCAGATCCCATTTAACTCCTAAATCATGAAAATGTCAATGTAAAACATCTTAAAGGTCCTATAATCGGTTTATTTTCTTTAAAAATGTATAATAAAAAAAATAATAACAATGTACACTATCATTCAAAAGGTGATAGATTATTTTTCAGCAAGGGTCAAAAGTGACGGTAAAGACATTTATATTGTTACATAGATTTCTGTTCCAAATAAATGCTGTTAAAGGTCCTATAATCGGTTTATTTTCTTTAAAAATGTATAATATAAAAAATAATAACAATGTACACTATCATTCAAAAGGTGATAGATTATTTTTCAGCAAGGGTCAAAAGTGACGGTAAAGACATTTATATTGTTACATAGATTTCTGTTCCAAATAAATGCTGTTTTTTTAACCTTCTATTGATCAAAGAATTGTGGAAAAAATGTATCCCAATTCCCACAAAAATATTTAGCAGCACAACTGTTTTCAACACTGATAATAATAAGAAATGTTTCTTGAGCAACAAATCAGCATATTGGAATGATTTCTGAAGGATCATGTGATACTGAATACTGGAGTAATGATGCTGAAAATTCAGCCTTGCCAACACAGGAATAAATTACATTTTTTAAAAATATATTAAAATACAAAATGGTTATTTTAAATTTTAATGATATTTCACAATTTTGCTGTATTTTTGATCAAAAACATAAAAACGTTCTTTCAAAAACATAAAAAATAAATACAAAATCTTACTGACCCCCAAACTTTTGAACTGTAGTGTAATTTCTCATTGTGGTTGAAATAATACCTGTGCATCTTCATATCAGGTTTCACCAAATTATATTATTTATCATACAACAGGCTATTGGTTTCTGAGATATGTTTGTAAGTTTTTTTATGCTTGCAGGTTGTGGTGCTGCATGAAGTCTCAGGGTGGGCAGGTTAAGTTTGGTGCATTACTAATGCAGCAGGCTGATGTGTCTGCTCTGTTACTGATCGAGGCCCTGACACTCAGCCTGCCTCAGACCTAGAGTTTATTCACCCTTCACCCTGGCTTTCTGTCACCAGGTACACAACTTCCCATTGGCACAAACAGAACTAGCTTCACGTCAACAGTTTTCTGTGGTAGTATTAAATTAGTCAGTGATTATGATTGAATGAGTCACTGAGTAATAAAAAAAATTGTGCTTTTGTAAATGTTATTATGGTAACACAGTTGTTAAGATATACTGTACTATTGTAATTGTGAATTAATCTGTGCACAATACTTAAAGTTCACCCAAAAATGAAAATTTGCTGAACTTTGCTCACCCTCAGGCCATTCAAGATGTAGATGAGTTTGTTTCATCGGAACAGATTTGGAGTAATTACAGCTAATTCATCAGCTGTTTGGACTCTCATTCTGACGGCACCCATTCACTGCAGAGGATCCATTGGTGAGCAAGGGATGTAATGATCAAATTCTCCAAATCTGTTCCGATGCAGAAACCGTTTCCTTGAATCAGTTTCATAGTCACAGGAAACCGTTTATGCCCTGAATCTCTTTAAACTTTTACAGTGGTCTTATGTGTTGAATGTGTCCTGGTTTCTGGTCCTGTACAGCCGCTCATGCTTTCTGCTCCGTCCCGGTCACCTGCACGTGACTCCTGCTGCAATGCTGTGCCAGTTCATATGGAGAGGGGGCATGCTGGGTGCCAGGGTAGCCAGCCTCATGTCCTTATGCAGTTCGTTTCACTGGTGGTCCTGTGGAGTCGTGGGTGAGTCAAGCTGTGTTATTGTGTAGACAAATACTGCACAGACAAAAGCTTTCACAGTTAGTTTGCGTGACAGCCTTGAGTGCTTTTATGTAATTTGTCATTGCCCAACTCTTACCTGGAAAGGGATGATTAGTTAATAAATGGCTGCTTTGTGGTTGTCTCTTTAAATCCCTGCTCAGGTTTCCACTGGCTCATTCTGGCATTCTGGCAAGTGTCCCAGCAGACAGACATCTGCATTAACCGTGGTTCCTGGCAGCTCTTCAACTTCGTCTTAGGGGCAATGCACATTTTTCTCTTCCTTAACGTTAAAGACGGTCCCTCCTGATAACGCATGACTGGATTCTATTTGGTTGGTCTCTCTGCACTGCAGTGTTATTTTAGTATTATTTATATACTTTTGTATATATTCAGTTTTAAAGTTTTAGTAATTTTATTGTTTTTGTCATTTTTATTATTTTTTAAATATTTAAAAATAGTTTTAAAATTATATATATTTTTAAAATATATGCTTCATTTAAAGGTGACATATCATGAAAATCTGACTTTTCCAGGTTTTAAGTGCTATAATCAGGTCTCCGGTGCATCTACCAGCCAAGGAAACGTGAAAAAGATTAACCCAGTAACTTTGTTTTGGGAAGCCTTTTTCTGCAAGCTTCTGAGAAAACGAGCGCGT